ACACTGAGGCCTAGGGGGTGAGGGGTATAGCTCAGTGGTAGAGCACGTGACTGGCGTGCACAGGGTGCTGGGTTCAATCCCCAGTGCCTCCATTGGGAGAGTGGACATTAAAGCCTGAAAAAATTTTTGAATCAATATTTTTTCAACTTTTGAATCCAGTTATTTTCAGGAAATCAGCCTTGGATGTCACTGAGATACATGTTCATGGTCAACAAGTGTTCTAAACCCCTCCCCTACTTTGTCTTTCAATTTAAGCAACACAGAGGCATGTATGGCTCAGATGGAGGTTTTCCTGGGGGCTCTCATACAAACATAAAATAAACATGTGTCCAAGGTATTATTTAACCTGTCGATCAATGAGGGAGCCAAAAAGATGATATGACTATGTCCAAAGGGAATTCAAAATACACACACACATAAAAATAATTAGGAATCCTGGATTCACAAATAAAAAACTGAACAAGATCCACTGGGCAGCAGTAAGTTGAACTCCACAACACGGCTTGCATTTCTATGATTATTATCATCTGCATCACTGTCAGTATTCTACAAGAATTTACAGGTCTGTAAAATAGCTCAAAGATAGCCCAAAGACAACGTTCAGGCTTTCAAAATTCTTCCTGACACTAGATGCAGGCACAGCCAAGTTGTCAGCACTTGCTCTGTCTCTAGTCTCTGTTTCTTTCTGCACATCTGTTTCCTTTTTCTCTCGTACATACTGGTTTTCTATGTAACTCCACCTCCTCTCAGAGCCCTTTTTCTCCCTCCCACTTTCACCACACCTAAATGCTCTTCTTACCACTTCAGCACTGACTAGAAGAAATCAGAAAACATGGAACCTGGCTTTAGCTTTGACCCCTACTAGCTGAGTGCCAGCCAAGTGTGAATGAAAAATGTTTCCTGCCACATTGAAAGGGAACAGGATCCTGTGCCCCCACCCCTGCCGGAAAGCTGAAGTCTCCCAGGCCTCCCTGAGTCACAGAAGAGCAGGCTCAAGCAGTACATTAGGACAAGCCTGCAGGCACTGGGGGGTGGCAAGGACTCTGACCACCTATCTCAGCGGTTAACTGAGATTACTCACCCATTTTCCTTTAAAACTTTCATGGCTGAACAGAATCTTTGGAGATTCTGTTTTGGGGGGGGCGGTGCTGGATCTGACAGAGGAGGTTAGGCAGGCTTACTGACCTTAGCTAATTAACAACAAGGGAAACGAAGTCCTTAGCTGATGAAAATGCAGGACATTTCTCTTATCCCACAGCGGGCTCGTTAAAATCCAAGGACATACCCCAGTATCTCTTCCTTCATTCCTACCGAAGTTTCTCTAATTGCTTTTTGTTTCAGGGCTGAGCTCTGAGGGAGGAAGGAGCCTCTAGCAGAAAATAATGAACACCACCACCAAAATGAAGGTAACAGTGGCAGAGCCTTCTAACAAAATCCCTGAGTCAACCCCAGGCTGAGCTGTCTCTATGGGCCACCTTGGCTGCCGGCTCCCCATTCAGTGCTTCCTTTCCCTGCTGGAGCACCTTTCTTTCCTTCTCTCTGCTCAAGCACTTTCCTGTGATTTCCCCTTCTGAGCAATAAAGTGGCTGTTTACTTCGTTCCTCTGCCTCTGTTGAGGATCCGTGAGCAAGGATCCACACTTTGGTGGGCTTCCTACTTTAGGGGTCCCTCTATCCGCTAACAGTATCAGTAAACAAAGGATGTTACAACCATCACCACCTTGCAGCTGCCCCAGCAGTGAGCCCTCAGGGAACTCAGGATGGAAATAGGATGCCTGCCATCAAGCCCTCAGCCACTGCAGCCACCCCCAAGGGGACTCCGGATGGGAAAGCATGGGACACTGGTCCTAGATAGCTAGGTGCATATCAAAGGGATGATTTCAGTGAGCCCAGACTCCTGCTGCTTCCCATATTTAGAAAAGCACTAAATTCCTTAAGGTATATAATTTTCTCTTGCAGTAATCTTTTGCTGTTTCAACTACCTGGTTTGTGTTGCAAAACTCCTATATAGCCTGACTCCTCCCTCGCCTCTTCAGAGAAGTCCCTCAGAGCTACCTGGCTTGAAGTCCTCAGAAATTCTGCCAAATAAAACCTAATTCTCAGCTTGCAGGTTGTGCTTTTTTTTTTTTAAGTCGATACAAGACAACATCTTTTTCTCTTTGCACTGTTATTGCTCATGCTGGATCTACAATTATCCCAACTCTAGCTGTCAAACTCCTGCTTGTCAGCCTTTCCGCCAGGCTTCCTACCCTCTCCACTTATGATTCCTTTTCTCATCATCTCCGCAGGAAGTGATCACTCCTTCCTCAAACTCTGTGTCTCAGCACTGCTCTATATACCTTCTTTGGGGGGGGGTTATTGTATGGCTGTCTTATCCATTCACTAAACAAACTTTTACTGAAGGCCCTGAAGAAATAAATACAAGTAAAATAAAACCCTTACACTTGAGGGCTCAAAATCTAGCAAAGGAGTTAACATTTGTGAAATGACAAAGCAAACAAGATGGTCCAGGCATTATGGAAGCAGAAGCAACTGGTGGGAGGGAGGAGTTGGGAAAGGCTGTACAGAGGAAGGGATGCTGAGCTAAGTTTTAATGGATGGTGGAGTATGCAGGTAGGTGAAGAGGAGAAAGGGCATTTCAGTCAGAGAGAACTCTTGAGTAGTTGGAACTGGAATTAGGTTCTGTGGGATGGAGTGGGGAGGGAAAAAGACTCTAAGGATCTTTCATGACATGCACAGGGATTTGGACTTTATGCTATAGATGGCTGATAATCACTGAGCAGTTTTAAACAGAACCTCTGATTTTGTTTGTGAAACATTTCTACAGTGGCAGTAGAGAGAAGAGGCTGAACAGTGATGACCAAGGAAGCAAAAGACCAGACCAGTAAGGAGGCTGTGGAAATAGCTCCAAAATGAAATGGTAAGGGAGTGATGGTGGAGATGGATTTGGAAAATAATTAAGAAGCTAAAAAGAAAGGATGGGCTTTGGGTGAGAAAACAGAAGAAAATGAAGGCTTCAAAGAATTCCAAGTTTTCTACTGGCTGAGAAGTTAACTGGACAGTGATGCTAGTCATAAATATTCCTTGAGTGCCTACTATGCAGCAATCACTTCTGGGAATTCAGCCATGAACAAGACAACATCCCTGAACTAAAGGAATTAATACTCTTGGAGATAATTTTTAAAAAGTGACATCAACTGAAAAAAAAATGCATAACCTGAGAGTTATGTTCTATTTGGGGCAAAATGAGGACTACAGCCTGGAAGACAGCATTTCAACTCCGAGGAACTGCTCAGCAGAGGTAGGGTGGGAGGTCAGTATATTTGTGATTTTTAGTGAAGGGAGATATGGGCAATCAAACACATTTTACCAGAGGCTTGCTGCTAGCCACGAGGAGCAGATGTCTCCATGAATGATTTTAGTACTTTTCCAGATATGAGAAGATGCAAGAATTTGGGCTTATAAAAATCCTCTCCTGAAACAATCTGTCTGAAGGCCTGTTCTGCCACTTTCTCCCAGAGCAAGGGGTGCCTCATTCCTGATCTCCTCCCTGAGTTCCTTTCAGGGTGTCTTGGAGGTCAGTAGCTGCAGTAGCTAGTGAACTAAACCTTGTAGAGGCAGGCAAGCGACCACCTTTGGTTGGCAGTGCAAACAAGAATAAAGAAATAAATTATAGTAAGTAGGAGAAATGAAACTAACAAGGGACTTTGCTCATCTGTGTAAAGTCACTTATTTACACAAGCTAGTGGCTGACAAGTATTTACCAATAAAATCTCCCACGTTATTACATTTTTAAAAAATTGAAGTATAATTCTGAAAGAGAGGGGGTAAATTAGGAGTTTGGGATTAGTAGGCAGAAATCCTACTTACTTTTTAATTGGGACCTTTACCGCCAAGAGAGAATAACAGAAAGCATAAGGAATAAGGGAGCAATTTTAGTGGCCTTTCCCTGCCTCTTAAGCAGTGCTTCAGACATTATAACTGTTTATTCATTCAGCTCTCCTCTAGACCCCAGGTCATTTGTCTTAATCACTTTTAACAGGCAAGTGTTCCATAAAATTGTTGATATGCAGAACTGAGTCAAAAATTACGCACAGCCCGAGGGTGGACTGTCCTTCGACTTCTGCATAAGAATCCTTTTTATGATCATCCTATGATCAATCTAAACCCAGGAAGGCAAAGAGCAACTGTGCAGAGGGAAAATGCCGGCTACTGAAGCACAGATACAGCTCGGTGAACTTTTCCCAAGTGCCTGCTGCGCACGAAACGTCGTGCTGGTCGCCAGGGCGCAGAAGATTAGCTGGAGGGCACAGTTTGAGCTCCAGTTCCACTCCAGGGCTACACGTCCCCCTATTCGGCCTGTCTTCAGGATAAGCTGTTTTGAAACACACACTTAGGATGCCCAACGCTCTTCTCCGTTATAGTTCGTTTTTCAGCGTTTGGTGCCCAGCTCCCGCCGGCGGAGAACCCCAGCCCGGGAAGCAGAGACAGCTGCACGAGGAGCCGAAGCGGCTGCGCGCAGGGGCCATGTCTGGCCCGAAGCCCCTCCCGGCCCGCGCCGCGCCCCACCGGCGCCCATCCTCCTCGGAATAGAGGACACCGGCGGCCCCGCCCCTACCTGCGCGCCGCATTGCCGTGAGCAACAGTCTCCCTCCGGAGCGTGACAGCCGGCCATGGCCCGGACCAGGGGTCCCCACGCCCTCCAATTTTCCCACGGTTTTGCTCCCGGAGCTCCGCCTGGGCTAAGGCGGCGAGGCCAGACTGCAATCAGGCGTCCCTGAGGGCAGCCCCGGGGGCGGGGCGGACAACAGGAGGGCGGGTCTGGGAGGGCCTCGCTGACCCAACCGCGCAGCCGCCTGGCCGGCAGGTAGGGCCACCGACCTTGGAGGCGGGGCTAGACGGGCTCCTTGACTCAGAGACAGAGGCCGTAGGCGCCCAGGGGGCGTGTCCAACTGGGTGTGGGGCGGGGCCTGGGAGGGCCCTGATGACTGGGCGATCAGGCTATGCTGAGGGCAGCCCGAGAGAAGGCCGGGAAGATGGCGGCCTCCTGGAGGCTGCGCTGTGATCCGCGGCTGCTGCGTTGCCTCCTGGACTTCGGCGGCCGCCGAAGCCCAGGGCTGGTTAAGGGGGCTTCTGGGTGGCCTTTGGGCCGCGGAGCTAGTTGGAGATGGTTTCACAACACGCAGTGGCTGCGGGGTGAGTGGTTGGGGCTTGCTTAGCTTCTCTGTATCTGAGCAATGGGCCTGGGGCAGGGGCTTTTTGATTGAGGGCCTGCATCTGGGTGTGGACGTCTTGGGGCCCCCTGTTCCCTTGGCCTTTTCTCAGGAGGGATCTGCTGATTTGGCCTAGTGCTTGCCGCGAAGCTAGGAGAATTTGACTCCGTTCCTGACCGCCTGGTTGGTGTGGCTTCTCTGTGACCTTGCCTTGGAATTTGGGTTGTGAGGCGCGGAGTCCTTTTTAAGGCCTCTTCTTAGGTTTCCTTATGATTGTCAAAGCTGCCCAAGTTTGCTCAGATTCAGATGTCACCGTTAGCCATTTTTTATTCATTCTCCTGACCCGCCTGTATTGGGATATCTTCCAGGCCACTGGGGTTTCCCTACGGGACGACTGGTAAAGGACCCAATTTGTAAAAGCCCAGGCCTCACAAATATAGGTCGAGAAGAATGTTTTAAGCACAACATGAACTTGAAAGAGTGAAAATTTAGGAGGGGAGTCTTACGAAGAAAGTGTCGGTTTAGAAATCTACAGCATAATAGTTGTGAATTTAAGTTTTATTCAGGGTCTTTCTGAGGATTATAGCCCTGGAGACAGCCGCTCAGCTCTGAGGAACTGCTTGCTCTGCAGATGTAGGGGAGAAGCCAGGTTATATTTAAAATTTTTGGCTAGGAAATTCGTGCCGTCAAGCATACATCTCGGTAAAAGATTACTGCTATATCACAAAGAGCAGATATTTCGAGTTGGTGATTTTAGTACTTTTCTATATATGGGAAGATGTAAGAATTCACGGTCATTGAAAATTCTTCCTGAGATATGCTTTCTACTATCTTAAGGGCCTGTTTATCCAAAGCACAGAGTGCTTCATTCTGTTTTTCATCCTGAAAGCTGCACTGTAGCTGTGCAACTGCAGTGGGTTATGACTTAACCCTTGTAGAACTGGTTAGTCATTGAAATTCTTCTTTGTTCACAAAGTTTATTACAAGCAGTTGTCATTAAATAATGATGTAGACACAATTAACACAATTCTTCCAATATTTAATGGTATGTAATGTAATATACCCAGCATTATTTTTCTTTACATGAGGATGAGGATGGGTGGATGTTTGAGTGTGATGTATCACCTGCCAATTATTGTCACTCCACAGGATGAATTCTAATAAAAAAAATTAAATGCAATAGGCGTGGCCTACACATTCCAAGCTATCTGAGGCTCAGAAGAAAAAAAAAAGTTACTCGCAGTTACATGGTAAGATGAGTGCGCGGAGATTTTAAGATCCAGTGATGAGAACAGTTTATTTCAGTTTCTTTAGCTTAATGTTTCATAAAATACCTCTCGGAGCGGTGGTTTCTTTAAACTGTGTTTAGAGTTCCCTGTCCTCCCTTCTTTGAGTTTTTTAAATATTGAACTTTCCTACAACTCGCAGAGATTCTGTCTGGGGTGGAGCTCAGCAATCTGCATTTTTACAACCAACCTTTGGTGGGTTTTGATGTTTTATGTTGGTGCTTGGATGGGCTACACTTTGCGAGTCACTCTCATAGAAAATGATGGAATAGTAAAAGCTCAGTTTTCAAAATAATTTACAAAGAGTGTTCTTAAGCTTGTTTGTGAAACAGTTCCTTTTGAGAATCTTTGAACATTTTAGACCCTCTCTGCAGAGGAAGGGACAAGTGTGGTTACACACAAAATGTGCATGCAGTTTCAAGGTTTTTTCTTAGACCAGATTTAAGGACCTCTGCCTTTGGAAACTCTCTCAGGCAGTCATATTCTGCTGCATCCCGACATTTTACCTACCCACCCCTCCCCCAACACACCATGAACAACTTGTCTAACTCTGCTTGAACATCATGTGTAAGGAACATTCCAAGGAAGCTGTATTAGTTTCCTAGTGCCTCCCTCTTTGGTGTATGTACAGGACCCCAGTGGTTATACTGAGTCCACCTGGATGATCCAGGAGTCTTTCCCCATTTCAAGGTCAGCTGTTTAGCAGTCTTAATTCTTTTTTCAACCTTAATTCTTCCTTGCCATTGTAACATAACATAGTTAATAGGTTTTTGGGGTTAGGGCGTGGTGCATTTTGGGGGTGGTGGGGCAGGGTTTTTTTTTTTTTCAAATACTGAGATTTTTTTCAAATACTGAGCCAAAATTTGTGTCCTAACTTTTCACATACAGGTTTTTGTTTTGCCATGATGAATTCCTGTGGCAGTTCTTGAACTATTTGCTTTACAGAGTGTGGATTACATGACTTGTTTGTTTGTTTTTCTCTGAGCTTGGTAGAAACTGTAGTTTCATAAAACTAAGCAACTATTTGGTAACCTATAGACTATGTAAACTAGGTGCAATTATTGAATTATTTCCTCTTTTACGTATCTATCCAGGATCTAAAAATCTGTCAGTTGGGAAGTCACTTGGAGTTTTGGTTTCCTTAAAAGGTGCTTGTTGGCAGCAGTTTTATGAACTACAGCATATGCCATGTGCTTAGTACTTGGAGAATTCCTTATTTTCTCCTCACAAAAACCTAGTAAAATTGACATTATCTGCATTTGTATTGGACAAAAATACTAAGGCTCAGAGAAATTAAGTGGGACTTCTAAAGCCACACAGCTCTAACGTTAATGAACTGAAAAGGATACACACACACACACACGCAGACACGTACGTATATGTGTATACATATTTTTAATCTATGTTTAACAAAACCTTAACTGGTTTCATTCTTTCAACTGGTACGTTTATTGAGAGGTCAGAGACTGTTACTCACTGTTGTGCTACTATTGAGTGAAGGGATGATGTGAGATTCCTGGTGCCTGCTGGAAAGTAGCCAGCCTCCTGAAGGAACAGAGTCTCTGTATTCTGGCACATGGCCCATTTAGTTATGTTTAGCTTCTGGAGATGCAATCCTAAATTCTGTATAGGCTTTATCCTGAAGGTAAGGGAGGTAAACAACAAAGGCATGATTTCAGGAGTATGTGCAGTAAGCTCTGAAGAGGCAAGTTCAGGATGATAAAGGAGAACTCAGGAAAGCATCTTGGAGATGGCAGCCCTTCCAGGCTGAAAGAGTAGCGTATATAAAGGCCCAGAGGCCAGATGTGATGTTTACATAAGTGGCAAAGGATTTGTGAACAGTTTTTCAACCTACCCTACGCAATTAACTTTGAAGAGTTTCCATTGCTATCCTTTCAGAGAAAATGACATGGTTTGAATTAATTAATAATTAATAAGATTTTAATAATACTGCTTTTAAGTTGTCTCCGGGGAATAACATGTTGAATTTAAAATGACATGTGAGTAGAAAAATAAAGGTTCAAACTTTGTAGTGCTTTGTCCAAAATACAAGCACAGGCCTTGCATATACAGATGTTAAATAAACATATCTAGGGAAGCTAAAAGTCTAGGAAGTTTCAAAAGGACAAAGACAGACGTCTACAGTAGGATTGCAAGTTGGCAGCCAGTGAACCAACCTACGTGATTTTAGAAGAAAATTAAATTTATTGACAATATTTAAAAACTAGCAACTTTAGATAAAAGTCTAGATTTTTGGCTTTTCTTGAAAATTTAAAATTAGGGCCTGTGTGGTGACAGTTGAATAATGATTGTTCTCTTTAGGTAGGAAATTGCCACTTTCTAGTTTCCCACTCTCCTCTCTTTTACCCCTTAGTCCTGTGGTATTTGTCATCACCTCTAGTTGTCATTCTTTTCTTGTACTCTTAATCTCTATGGACAGCAGACAAGAGGTATTTAGGAAAAATGGGAGAGAGCAGTTGGTGTGTGTATGTGTGTGTGTGTATACATATGAAGAAGCTTCTTTTAGGTTTACTATGAAAATATAGCATGTCTGGATCTGAAGAAAAAACTTCCAGATGCTGCTGGGCCATTCTTTGACCTGCCTTTTCCCTGTAGGCATCTGAGTTTTTGACAGCAGTTCTATAACAGGGAGGCAACTTCTCTGAGAAGAATTGATGGTGTGGTGTGTTGACCTAAAACAAGTAGACTGCCAGACATTTCTCGAGCAAAGATGGGTATATTTGGGATCAGCAGAGAATTGTAATTTGGGGTCTGCAACCATGGGGAGTCAGGTGCAAATCGCACACAGCGCAGGAAGGAGAGGGGCAGCGAAGGTGGGGAGGGCTATAGCAAACAGAATCCATAGCTTTCCATTGACTGAGTCCTTACCAGGAAAGAAGAGGAGTCAGTCTTCCTGTTGGGCTCTGCTGTCATCAAGGGCGTGAGAGCTCCCCCTTTGGGTCTCCCCAATATTTTTAAACAAGTATTTTTTTCCAAAACAAATACTGTTTTAGGCCTCGCTCTAATTCAGTCCTTCTATACCAATACTGATGAGACTGTTACTGTTCTTTGAGTTCTTTGACTGTGGTGACAGAAACTCACAGATTAGCTGAAGTAAAATAGGATTTCTTAGAAGGATACGACACCAGATTAATGAAGTGCGGCTGGGGCCATGGGGGATCTGTGATGATTCCATACACTTTTGGACTCCCATTGTTTTTTCCTCTGATTTAGTTTGTTTTTCTCCACAGACTTGCCAGTCTGCTTCCTCATAGCTTTTCTTTCTCTGTAATATCAGCTTGCTTTGCCTTCATGTTGATGCAGGCCCTTATGCTCCATGCTCTTTTAGTTCAGTTCAAGTGCACACCATCATTTCTGTGATTTAATTCCTGATTCCTTGGGCAAAGAAGCTGTTGACCCAGTTGTAGGTCAGCTGTGCTATAGAGTGCACAGGATTGATCCCATCAAAGACTGCAGTTAGGACATTTTCTTTAAAAAGGGAGTGTGATTTGGGAATCAGTGATGTCTGCTATTTGGACAGTCTGATTAAAGTAGGAGAGTAGTGAAGTGCTTCATTTTAATTGTTGTGGGGTAAGTATTGACTAGAGAAAATAGGTGACCGCTTAAGCAAAGCAGATCTAGGCTACTCGGTAGGTGAGATGTGTGATCATCTAGGGAAAACAGGAAGGGGATAAAC